CAGAATAGACCTTTAATGGCACATTCAACCCCTCTACCACAACAAGCAGTGGAAATAATGATAACAGACTTGCTCTCTCCTATGCAGTAACACTTATGAATGCAAGGCAAAAAGTTACTGGCAGCAAAAGAGAAGGTCACAAACAAGTTTGTCTTCACCTGTTGTAAGAAACTTAAAACTACCATTATTCTGTACAGGTAAGAAGAACAGCAAAGTAAAAAAGCTCATATTCTAATATTCTCATTTGTATCTCTTCTTATGAAAGGTGTGCCTTTTATTACATTTGCTCAATTCAGAAATGTGTTCAGCTGCTATGAGTGTTAGATATGCACTGCTTCTTTCGCATTAAGAAATAAAGTAGCTTTTAACTCATCTCATACAGCAATTTTTACTGTATCGAGTCAAAAAAAGAAGAAAAGAATTGCAGTCAAACACACCGCAGTGCCTCAGAAAGGCCGAACACTTTGCTAGCAACTCGATGGTACAGACAGACAGAAGGGAAAATGAACTATGCCTGAGACAGCACATATGCTCCAGTTTGATTTTAAAAGTCGCTACATTTTACAATAATTAAACACAAGACAAATGCAACTTGCCAAAACCAATTGAATGGGCATATCTAGAGCCAATCTTTTAAAAGATGTCATGAGACATGTCAACAGATCATGATTTTGCAAACCAAGCAGAGTTTTACAGGGTCAATTCTTGGGTGAGAGACAGTTAAACAAAATCCACAATTAGCACTAAGTTATTCAAACAATTCACTGAACTTTCCTCTGAATTTCTTATCAACTGGCATGACATTCTTAGGTGCAATGTATGTTGAAATAAGCATTTTCCAAAGACTGTCATTGTTAGCTTTTGTCTTCTTTAGAATAAGATACTTAAACATACAGTTCTTGCCTCTCCAAACTTGTTCTTGATTTTGAAGGTGAACAATACTTTTCACTCATTTACCTTGACTATATAATGCAGTGTTCCCATTTACAACTAAAACAGCTGCCACACATCACCCACCTCAGCAAGAAGCACTTCATCAGTAGCTCGCTTGCTCATACACACACTAACATCACTTACAAAGCACTGTAGTTTAGATTGCCTTTCAAATCCTGTTTGTTTTTAAGTAGCTTGTTAAACTAAGCAAAACTCTCTTGTGAGTTTAGAGATTATGTCCCCCTTTTTATGTATTTGATCATACAACCAGTCTGGAAAGTAAGCTTCATCTTGTCAATTAATAAGCCTTGAAACTGTTTCCTCAGTTAAAGTACCAACAGCTTCAAAACACAGCCCTACAGAACAGCAGATCTGCCAGCAAACACTTTCTTTTTTTTTTTTAAACTAGATGCTGCTGCAAACAGTCTAGAAAGTAGGTTATACCTTCTAATTCAAGCAATAAAAGTGTGCCTGAACACAAAACCAGAAACAAGATGAAAAATACATTGTCCTACTTTCCACCACCCTGCTGCCTGTCTGATTTACCCTGACACAGGCACTAGCAAACATCCAGGCAAACTACACGAGCGTTCTTAGAATGGAACTACATCATCTTCCTCTGCAAAGATGATCTGGCAGTGCAAGAAATCTCTGCCAAATAACATCTCTCAATAGTCAAGTTACACATTGCTTTATTTTATGTTATTAGCTTTACTTCTACCTCCTTGGACCACCCTAGGGGATTCTTCTCCATTATGTTCTTCAAATACTTGCAGATAATCATATCTCCCACTTAGACATCATTTAGCCAAGTTTCATGCACTTCTTTTCATCTTCTTTCCCTCATAAATCAATCCCTTCAGCCTTTCCAGCATTCTTGCTGCTCTTCCCTGAATTTCTTCCAAATTGCTGACATCTTTCAGCGACTGAGGAACTTCCAATTGCATGCTGTACTCTAGATGTGTTTTTTGTACTCTAAAGAAAGATAATTAAGCCTTTTCAAGAAATATTAATGCTCTAAGTCTGGAATAAATCTAAATCAGAGATTTCTTTTTTCCAGAATGCATAGCAATCATCCCTATTTCACAGAGCAGAAGAGAGTTGAGAGACATATCTGAATTATTGCTGCACACAAGCAGTGTCAGAATAAGAAACAGATCTGTGTTCTGCCATCCCCAGTCATGAGGTCCGCCAAGTTTCAGCCCACAGACAACGTAAGACAATGTTCCCAGACTGGAACAGGCAAACACAAGCCATTTCCAAATGACTACAGAACAACACTGAGGGAGCCCAACACTTGCTCCTGTGAGCAGGCACGATGCTGCAGGCTGCTGTCACCAGTGGGACCATGCAACACCCTACAATGTGTCAAGTTCTGCTATTACCTTAAGTAAGGACACAAGTCTGCAATACACCTACCTGGCTTTTATTGCTGTTATGTAGAGGTTTGTTTCTAAAACCAGCCCTCAGCTATCATCAGGTTAACTACCTGAAAAAGCTATTCCATTGCAGAGGTTAAGACTGGTTTTAAATACAAGAGGACTGACTGACTACAAGGCTAAGGCAGTCCAAGGCAGTGTTCAACTTGCACATTTCCTTCCCTTCCCTCCCACTCCAATACATTTCTGAAGGAATCATGGGGAAATAACTTCAGAAAAATTAAAAAGAACTCTTCACAAAATAAATCTCTAAGAGAGACTATACAAGGAGAGGCAAGGCTGAAGAATGGAAAGAAGAGTCTGATCAGTTAAATTTAATTAAAAAAAAAAAAAAAAAATTAAAACCCCCCAAACAGGATGCAGACATTAAAAAAGCAACACTGACCTAACAAAGGAATGTGAACTGTAGTTGACTTAAACAGCATCAGAGTAACAGCCCTCCCCCAACACACAAATCTCTGCAACACTTAGACACAAGTTTTTATGCCCTTCCAAATTCTGCAGGTTTTTGTCCCACTAGCCACACTTTAATACTCTTCATTTAAGCTAATTTAGCTCATCGCCTCTTAGTACCCAAATTTAACCCAGACTAAAGAAAACTAAGTTGTATTATTCTGCCTACCTTAGAGAGGCATTAAATTCTAGTATTCTGCTACATATTCTTTTAACTGAAAGAACAAACTATAAACGATCATCTGTTTCATGGTCTGCTGTTAAATATCAGAAGAGTATAACCAAGATTAGAGAACAACCACTATGGTGAAAGGTATAATTTCTTCCCACTAACTCAATATAGAGAGCAAAAGGAAACTTTCAAAATCTGTGTACAATTTTCTTAATGTGATTGCTTGTTCACAACTACAGCTCCTGCTTCCATCCACTACGGTGACAAAGATTCCTTATTAGGCTTCTCCCCATCCCATGAAGAATCATTTCCTCCATCCAAAATGTGGAAATGACAACATAAATGCCATCCTCATGTTGTTCTCTTTCATCATATTTTTGCCTTGGGAGATAAAAGCTACTAAGAACATTATGTTTTTAAGCAAGATATTTTGATTTTCAGCTTGAACCCTTTTCAGCATTAAGGTCATTTACACATCATTTCACCACCTACCTAAAGGCAGGCATCTTGGTGAATGCTTAAAAGCTTTTCTACAATAGAAAGTGCAAAACATACATAAATCTGGTGCAACTTCTTTCTTTAAATATGCACTGTGCTTGCTAATTAGGCTCTCAGATCTATTTGCAAAGTTTAGTATTTGGTGACAAAACTGGACTTACAGCTAGGACAGCATACAGGACGGTTTTTGTCTAGTCAGAAATTCTTATCTTGTGATAGGAAGAAAAAAGGAAATTTGCTGAGGGTCAAAATTAGTGCACTTGCACAAAGCCTCAAGTTGAATAGAAAATAGCCCATCTTCAGCAAGAAATCAGGAAACTTCAGTTATCTCTGTAGATCAATTCCTATGTGATTGTTTGCTGTCACAGATCATCACGATTTCTTTCCTCCACTTGTACAACAGAAGTAATCTTGTTCATCTCCGTAAAGAGTGTGGAGGATTAACTAGTGACAAATAGACTGAAAACACTACAGAAATACAAAGTACTCCTAGTATCGTTAAAAACTTATCCCATAATCTGATTTAAATGCAGGACCTATTATTGCCTTTTGAAATGGCTCACAACAACTTTCCTACCTTAAAACAAGGAGGAAAAAAACCCCTGTAGTAACACACTAAACTCTGGCACCCGTCATTCCCCATGCTCTAACCTAAAGAGGCATAAATCCTTGCTGTAATTCACCAAGGATAAAAGATATGTAATATAAAATACCATAAAACCAGGAGACATAAGCAATAAAAAAACCTCCCAAGACCTCAAAAAACTCATTTATCAAGTAGTTTTTTGCTTGAAGGCAAGTTAGGTAATAACATGCACAACAGAGCCAATTTAAGGAACTTGCATCCACTATACTGTATTTAATAAGTAGCTACAGGTAAAAATGATTGCAGGCTTATTTTCCTTTATTTGTTCAAAAGGGCTCTGGTGCAAATCATATGTATATTAAGAGAAGAGAGGTTTTCACAAACCTTTCTGGGCAGAGCATGATTTTGATGTTACTGACACTTAAGAAGTCATTTTGAGATTGGAGTTTGTCCACACAAAAGATGTGGCTTCAGGTCATTCAGTCTCAAAATGCAAGTCACAGCCACCATAATTTAATTAGAAGTAGTACAATCCACCAAATCATCAGCAGTCCAACTGGGTATGAGCTGATTTCAAAACTTCAGGAGACTACTGGTAGCATTCAGACTTGCAATATGGAAAGATCCTCTACATTTAACACAGATAACTAAAAGAGAGTAGATTCAGAGTAAATAGAATTAAGACTTTTTTTTTTTTTTTTTTAAACACAATGAGAGGGATGAAACACTGGGACAGGTTGCCCAGAGAGGTGGTAGATACCCCATCCCTGGAACTACTGGTTGGATGGGGTTCTGAGCAACCTGATCTAGCTGAAGATGTCCCTGGTCACTGCAGGGGGGTTGGACTAGATGACCTTTAAAAGTCCATTCCAATCCAAACTATTTTATGGTTAGTATTTGTTACCTGATAAGTACCTACCTGGAATTCGGATTTTAAATTTGCCACTTTGTCCAAAACCACCATCTATTATTCCATCTTCTCCTGTAGACAGTTTGACTTTTAGACCCATAAAAATCTGGATGTTTGTTTCCTTTTTGAACAATGAACGACCAATCACACTGTAATCATCCATCACCTGCAAAAGAAATAGGGCTTCATGAGCCTACAATCTAAAGTGACAAGACAAATTATACCTATAAGATACGCTAAGTTTGGTGACTTCTACCACCCTGCCCTTGGAAAACCATTTACCCTCAAAGGAACAGAACTCTAGATGAGTCATCTAAACTTCTGACTTTAAGACAATTTGTGTCTCAAACCATAGAAGATTATGTAAATTAATATATTTCTGCTTTCACCTCCTTTCTTCTAATCTAGGAAGAACAAAACCTGCATTAGAATATGCTGTAAAGATCAGTTGATAAAAAACTCTTTTCTGCTTTGAAATCTTTCCATGAAAGTCACTTAAGTACCTATGCCCACAAAAAGTTTATTCCTTTACTTATTCTACAGTTAAGTACATTATCACCTACATGAACATCCTCTGACTCCTCGCTCCAGAACTGCACTCCGACAGCTATACTTCCGAAGAAATGACAGAGTTACTCAGAATTTCTAAATAGAGCCTTTTAAATATTCACCTTCACATACACACTGATTTGTTAAACTAAAAGCCTTATGACCATTGTATCCAATTTTAATTTCAAGGTTTGTAACCCAGTGGGAAGAACCATTCCAAGTTGAATTCTTAATTAAGCTATCAGGAACAAGAGGCAGCAAGGTTGGTGGGTAAGGCAAGATAAACAACCCTCCCTTAGGCATTACAAAGTATAAGGTGCAGTCAAGTGAGCCTAATCCTGTAGGTGTGAATATCCTTGTATACTCAACGCCTGGAGTTACTCTACCTTGTAGCCGTGGCAAGAACATTTATTTACTTATCAGAAGAAATAAGGGGATATTACTTAAATCTTTTCAAGACTTTTTTTTTTTTTTTATGTGGCAAAAGTTGCAGCTCTTTTTCATATCTTAGGAGCAATTTTTAGATAAACCTAAGGGTTTCAAAGACCAAAGTAACCTAGACTGGTAGAGAATTATCATCGATTTTGAAACACTCCCCTTGATTCAGTTTAAATGATGACCCAAATATTGGTTTATGAAGCCACTCTCCTTCCCTGAAGCCTCTTCCATAAACAGCAGTTCAGATACAGACTCAAATCCCTAGCATTCTTCTTTAATGTTTAGTTACATATGTATGCTTCTATTTTAACACCAATCTCCATATAACAGTAAATCCAGCATCAGAAATTTAATTTTTGTTTTATTTTAAATGATGTTTACTTGCTCAGCTATAAAAAGCCTTTTTGAAAGGGCTGTGCAGTATCAGAAAGCACTGGCAGAACCAGACCCTGCCCCAGACCCCACACACATGCAGGATGAGAAATGTCTGCAGTCCCTCTGCCTTCTTTCAGGTGGAAATGACAACAGTAGAGGCAGCTCCACTCCCAGCTGAGTGCAGGGTCAAGGTTGTAGGAGAAGCATTCAGATGTCTCGACAACATTCGCTGCCTGAACATCCACTCCTTGTCTCTTCCCAAAAAGTTACATTTGTGATTTTTTTTTTTTTTTTTGCTGTGTCTATCCTCTCCCACCTCCCCAGCGAACGCTTCTTCAAAGTAGCTTGTGAACCATTAATGGTAGTATCACTGCTTGGAAACCTCTGGCTTAAATTTAAACCTGAATAATGTCTTTTACTAAAGCCAATGATAATAGGCGGTGGTAGAGGGGGAAGATAAGCTTTCAGACACGCTTGCCTTTCTTCAGGTTTGAAATGGAAGACTAACAGAAAAAGCAGCTGTTAATTCCAACCTGAAGAAGCACTTACATTCTCAAAGCATTCTTCATTCTTCCAGTTGTATTAGCTGGTCAAATAAAAATATTACTTCTTCCTATAAATCTTTTATTCCTAAAACAAGAATTTCAAAACTGAACATCCCTCTCCTTCACTGCTGGCTACATGCTTCTTACCCCTGTGTTCAGATGCTCTCTTAAACTCCAGTGAGGATCTTCTATATATCTATTTTTGTAGTTATCCCAGCAAAATGGCACAGGAAGCCAACTTTAAAGACAACATAAACATCTTTTATTTTTCCAAGAGCACTTCAAAGTTATCTTTAACTTAATTAAAAACAGAATAACAGGGTGAGCAATCATACTAGGCTAGCATGGTTCAGTTTAGAGCCTCCCCAGCAAGGCTGTCAGAAAAAAACCAAAATGATTTCTGTGAACAAGTGTTACAGCCACCACGTACCTTTGAGTAAACTGGTAACAACAACCTACAATTGATGACTGTAACAGCAACAAAGTCCATCACCATTTAGGTATGCCATGCTCACTTAATACCTTTTCATTTTAACCCCCCTCAGCTTTGTAAATAAATGTGCTTCTTAGGGTCTTGCACTTGCACATACAGTTTAGGGAAGTAACTGAAGGCTCCAGCTGCACAGTTCCTTGGTCAGCTTGTTAAAAAAACCTCCTGTAGCTGACTGACATGTTTGGTCCATATCACCGTTATTCCTTGGGCAGCTCAAAAGGCCATTAGAAAAACAACTGCTTTAGTGGCGCTGAGACAAGAAGTGATCAGTGACTTGCCCGAGTGGCTGTTTGGAATAAAACCTTTATGACCCAAAATCTCAGATCCCTACACTAAATACTATACATCATCATCCCCTCCAGTTAGCCTATCACCAATTTATCCCTGAAGACAACTAAGTAATAATAGAATACCTGACGTTACAAGAACTAAGATAACTGATCAGTCTCTGTAGTAAAATAAATGGGTGAAGGAGAGAATTGCTATGAAGATAACACCATTTTCTCAACTTTAAGAGTATTTTATAAAAGCAAAATATAACTTTTGTTTTAGTCTTGCTTTGTAAGAACCCACAGAAATGCATGTTGTTCTCTCCAACTGAAACTCAACACTTTCAATTACTTTACCAGCAATTTACCCCCAATCGCTGGATTTTAAGTTAATCCCCTTTGAGTTCTCAGAATATCTACAATGGCAATCACTTTGCCTATTAGCTGAACAGCCTTTTGGGAGATCTTTCTGCTTTTCTACCAAACATTCTTTTTTTGTCATAAAATATTATTAACTTAAAAAGCTGAATGCCACAAAGACAGTAAGGGATACACAGCCTGAGTCTGCTCTGAAGCAGCAGCAAGGGGCCTAGCAATGAAGGCAGACTAATTTTATTAACTTCAGGGAAACTTCAAAAAGCTTTAGGGCTTTAATGCCAGACAGAGACGACCCCAAAAGTCAGTTTAAGTGCTGCATAAACAAAGGATTAGGGCAAGAAAAAGCTGAAGGCTCCTTGCATTTCTTGTTTATATTGTCATATGACCTAGTGGGAGTGGGAGAGGGCTGCCTCTCTGACTTTAATCCCCCATGGTGTACAGTGGCGTTTCAGTTCACTGACCTACATTACGATAATATTTTTTTAAATTTATGGGCAGAGGTGCAGCATCAAACTCACTTAAGGACTTGAAAAAAAAAAAAAAAAGGCAGGGGGATGGGGATAAATACCCAGAAGAGAAGGCTGGTATAGCTTCCCCCTCTCACTTAGGTTAGATCAGCAGCTTAGAAAGGGATTTCAAGTTCAAAGGGAACGTCTCTGTTACTCTTGTTTTATGGCTTAGACCAGAGGACACAATAGCACCGAGTTTATGAAATATCCCTCCCCACTTGGCTTTTGTGTTTGCAGGAGAAAAGTAAGCAGCACTTTATAACCATAGGTGAAGTGTGTGCATCTCTAGTACGTAACACTTCTGCTAATACCAAGGAGTTCACAGAAAAAATTAACCGCCTCACACTCCCCACCTAAGCAGCACTTATGCTACCATATATTGTTTGCAAAATCACAGTTAATGTTACATGTGTTGGCATCCAGTGCAAACCATAGCATAATTCCACGGAAAAAATAACTCGGCAAGTTCCCTTTGAGCAGGGATAGCAAGCTATACTGTCCAGCCTGTTAAACCACTCAATTTTTTTAAGATAACTTAGAAATCACTGTCATCTGAACACCCTTGCAAACAATCCATCACACACATTTTGAGAGCAAATAACTCCATAACGTATCTGTAGAAAAAAAAAATATAAGGGGATCAGAACAGACACACACAGGAGGAAACAAAGTGGTGTCAGAATGATATGGGAAATAAGAAAAGTTTTAAGACAGGGAAAGTAAAAGTACCAAATATTAAATACCAGAAAGACACAGAGAGAGAAAGAATAACCTTTGCTGATTTAATCTAAAATTATGTGGTCTTAAATAGAAGTAAAACAATTTTTTAAAAAAGGATAAAAACAGGTCTGAGGATTATTCTCAGCAAATGGAAAAATGGCCCATTGAAACCAAAGCAGAAAACGGGTGGAGGGAACAAAAAAGAACCTATGACTAACACTGAAAATACAAAGTATTTTTATTACTTTTTTGTACTTTTAAAAAAGCACACTTGAGACATCTTCATCATGATCAGTGACAACTCATTTATTTCTAGAAAACAGCTTTGAGCACTTTCCATTTCTGTGTCAGAAATGGGAGTATTTTGGAGGCAGCAAATTCCTGTTCTTTTTTAAAATGTGGCTTCACGCATTGAGAAAATGACAGTACATGAGGCCGCAAAAAGGGAGAAGGAGAAAGGAACTGAGAGGATTTCACTGATGATTGGGTTTGCAGCTTTTCTGATTATCCAAAGATTGTTTAGTTAGAGTTTTAGTTCTAGTTTTCAGTTTAATACTGAGAACTGGGTGAACGACTTGGTACAAAGAAAGAACTATTTGGTCAGCCATGTCATCATGATTTTCCTCAAGAGCTTACATCAGCATAAAAGTATTGGAGGCTTTTTTTCTGCAGTTCCCTTGGGCAGTAGCAGCTTTCAGTTGCGTACTGGTTGCTAAAGTCCACCTTCTCAGCATCCTCCAAACGAACGAACCAAACTTCTGCCTTGGAACATCCATCCAGGAAGAGGGAAGGGAGATGAAAAGTTCATCTCCTTCAGTACTTCATGCCTCGTTACTGGTGTATTAATAGAGCAAGAAGCCATCACACAGACATCTCCACATATCCACTAA